TGGATGCACTGGAACTTGCATTTTAGACCAGGCCAGGCTGGCCTTGAACCAGAGATCTGCCTGCCTCTGCTGGGACTGGTTTATTTTCTTATACAACACAGGACCACATGCCCTGAGGGCACCATTGCCCGCAATGGGCTGGACCCTCCCACATCGATTAACACCAAGGAAATACCCACAGACTGCCCACAGCCCAGTTCTGATGACAGCAATTCCTGTTTCTGCCTTTGAAGTTCTGGAGAGCAGGCATGTGCTTTCCTAACTAAAATGGGTCTTTCAATGAAGCATGCTCTTTCATCTGACACCTAGCACAGGTTTCCCTTGGAGCAGTTACACATCTGACAACACCTAGTGCACCATAAAGAGTTCTTCTACTACTGTGTAAAATCCACCCCAGCAACGGTCCCCCTGGAGTTCTCTCAATCTTCAGGCTACTCAACTCTTAGTTTTTAGTTATTTTTTCTTATTTTTTTTCTAGGTATTAATACAGTTGTCTCTGTATATTCTCCCCTTACAGTCTCCTTAGTGATCATGAGACAAAGGTCATGTTCTTATCTATGGACACAATCGCCCCACTCTAGCATCCTGCTCCCTCCCTGTAAAGAAGGAACTGGCCCTGACTTGGCAGCCTAAGGCTTTGCTTAGTTGCTTTCATTTTCACTAGAACAGCCTGTAGTGACTTTTCTGACAAAGCAGATCACAGAAAACAAGGTTTATTCTGGCTTACAGTTTGAAGATATATTTCCACCGGGGCACAGGAGACCTGGTGTCAGGAGCAGGAAGTCAGCCAGTCACAGTGCATCAGCAGCAAGGACCCAGAGAAAATGACAGGAAGTGGCACCAGGCTATAAAGTCTCAAGCCTGTCCCCAGTGGCCCACTTCCTCGCCCAGGCTCCACCTCTTAAAGATTCCAACATCTTACCAATGGCACCCTAGCTGGAAACCAAATGTTCAGACACATGAGCTGCTTGTAGGAGACCTTTCACATTCAGAGCACAGCATAATCCAGGGTACAATGTCCTCTATTAACATCTGCATGTGAGCATCTCCCTCCCACACTCTCCTCCACTAACATCTGTATGTCAATACCTGCCTCCATACTCTCCTCCACTAACATCTGTATGTGAATACCTCCCTCCCACACTCTCCTCCACTAACATCTGTATGTGAATACCTGCCTCCCACACTCTCCTCCACTAACATCTGTATATGAATACCTCCCTCCCACACTCTCCTCCTTATCATCTTCTTTCTTTCCTGAAAAAATGCTTATAAATCTTGTTCT